CCTAGACCCGGTTAATTAAAAGGAAAGGGGAAAGGGGAAGGGTGAAACTCTAATCCCCCCTTGGCCAAAACGGCGCCTCAAATATTCTCTTCATCTCTCTCTGATTTTTCTCTCTTCTTCGCGAGCCTCTTTCTCTCTTCTTCCTGTTCTTGCAATTATCTCTCTTCTTCTTGTTCTTGTTCCTGAAATGAAAACGAAAACAAAAAAAAGAGTTAACAGAAGCCGCTTACAGTGGTTTTTGTTGTTATTCGGCGATGATGAACATGGTTCTAAGCCGGTTTTGTGATTTTTGCGATGGGTTCGTTGATTTTATAAAGGTTTCTGAGTTTATACAATTGACAGTTTGCGAGGGTTTTGCGATTTGAGGGTTTGACGACCGTTTTGATGGGTTTTTTGTGTTTTGGTGTTTTACGAAATCGGGCTTTCGTTCTTCTTTGATGGATTTTTGTGCTCTTGATCTATGATGAGAACTTTCTCTGAGCCTTGAGCCTATGATTATTTTTTCGTCCCTTTGATGGTGCTTTTCTTCTTTCTCTTATAGTCCAAAACGACTTGAAGGGTCTTAAAAACTTTCCTTTTTTCGTTTTATCTTGTCTTATGTGTTTAAGATTTTGTGATTGATGGGGCTGATTTGTATTTGATGCATTTCCATTCTCGAATTAAACTGATTGCTTTTGATTTAGAATTGTCCGATCCTCTGATTTCTGATTAAATGAAGGTTATCGCTTTGGTGACTCTCTTGGTCTTTGGCCAATATTTGTTATCTCCAATTCGCTGATAATAATCAGAATTGATGACTTAAGCTGTTATTTTCAGGAACGATGTTTTGGACCTATTTTAGGGATTTTCGTTTTTTTTATTCTTCAATTTCTCTTTTCTGGATACTTCAGATGCTACCTTGGTCTTGAAAGTGTCGTGAAGGGTTCTAAAAAAATGTGATGATGATGTTTGTCTGAACCGTTTCTTTGAGGCTTATTGGACTTTGATTAAACTTTTGATATTCATGATGCTTTTTTTGGAGCTGTCCGAAAATTGTTGTTGTTTCGAAAGTTGGTAGCGCAACATCGTTGCCCTTCCGAATTGCCGAATGATGATTTTTAATCTGAGGATTGTATGAAAAAAATCAATGTCCTTTTCTTTTTTTGAAAGTCCTTGTTATTTACTGATTGTTTTTTTCATTGTTTTGCAGGTGTAAGGATTCAGAAGAGTAGGCTGCTTGGAGCTGCTTGGAAGGAAGACAATAGGATTTGCCCTTACTTAGAAATTTCCAAGAGTTAGGACTTTAAACAAAAATTGTAACATCATTTGAGATGAAACTTGTAATTCGTACTTCTTTTAAAAACTCTTGCATTTGTAAACTCGTCAGGACAGAAAATAATGAAACAATATTTGAATTTGAACATTAATCTTGAATTTGCCTTTTGTGCTCAATCAAACTTTTAACTTCTGCATTTTAACTCGAATTCTACAATTTCTAAAAATTAGCTCCTTATGAAAGCATATGAATCTTGCACTTAAGTGGAATGCCAAAAGATCCTTCTGAATCAAAAACTCTTAACAACTATATGGCATAATTCCATTTGGAATTCTGATATGAGATCTCTTTAGAGTTGCAACTTGAATATAAAATCCAAAATTGAATCTGTGGCAAGTTCAATGGATATTTGCAAAGAAGTAGATCCTGCCTCTCAATTTGAAGTTTGTTTGTCTAAACTCGAGTTCCCATTAATTGTCCATATTCAAAGTTCCGAGTTAAACGGTTCAAAAAGTCACTAACCCAGACTCTTCCATTTGACTGTTGGTAATCCTCTCACTCATAAATAATTGGTCAAACCCAAACTAAAGGGAAATCGGTAGAGATTCACTTTAGGCATAAAATTTCCACCAGTTCTCAAATCAAAAGACCTTTAGTTCTCTTTGGGGATTCTTTGAGAAAATTTAAGGGAGATGGTCCTGCGTTGATTAAGAGACCATGAAAATGAAGGTGTATATTTTCGCCACAACTTGTAGGAGATAGAGTACACACAAAGCCTTCACGACTTCCTGAACTTCCAGCAGCATACCTGGCTCAAAAACACAACCAACAAAACGGTTAAAGTGGTTAGAAAGATGACCTAAACGATATGCGAATGATCAGTGAATCTAAGGGTAAAATTTGGGGTGTGACAAACACCTTTTTATAAGCCAAACACTAGTTTTACAAAGATGTTCCTATAGAGTACTATAGACATTTTTGGTGCTCACACCTTCCTTTTGCGTAACCAACCCCCTCATTCTGTCTCTGTTTATTTTTTTTCTTGTTTTAGAACTTCTTTAGGTTTTGTTCGCTCTTTTTCCTTTCCTTTGGATAAAATAAAAGTGCGGTGTTGAATTTTGTTTTGTGAGTTAAGTTAATCAATAACTTAATCTCAAATTTTCCTGCTACATCTATAACCTTTCTTCATATATTGTTGTGACCATCAACAACATCTCTTCTTTTTCACGCTTTTCTGACAATTGAAACACTGAATGTGAACTTTGTCAGGTTTTCGACCACCACCTCTTCCTCCACCTGTTGCACCACCTCTTTGGTTGCTTTGATATGAAGACTTTCTAGGATTCGAATAGCCTCTTTCTTGATGATTTTGACTAGTCAAATTGTTGTATCCTTTTATACCTTTATTTCGAACCACTTTCTATTGCCTTTCTTTTCTCTTGATGATTGTGCATGCAAAGTCACATCACTCTTCGACATGTTTGCAGCTTTTTCATCCATTTTTTATTCATGAGATTCAAGCGTCCCTTGAAGATCTTCTTATGTAAATATTAAAAAATCTTTCTACTCTTCTATTGCTACTACCATGTGATCAATTTTTGGAGCCAATGACCTCAAGATCTTTGAAACAACTAATATTGATGTCAACACTTCTCCACATACCTTGATTTGATTCACTAGTTTCGTGACCCTAGTGAAAAAATCTATTATGCTTTCATTGTCTTCCATCTGAAGAAATTCATATGTTCTTTTGTGAGTTTGTAACCTTACCTCTTTCACCTTTTTTGCGCCTCGAAATGATTTCTCCAGGACTTCACATGCTTTTATGATGATTCTACATCACTAACCTTTTCGAAATTGTCTGGATCAACACATTGATTAATTATAAATAGAGCTTTATAATCTTTCTTCTTCAATTCTTTGTATGTAGCATTTTCTTGATTCGGCATGCTTTTTGCAAGTGGTGTTAGTCCTTCCTTCACAAGATCCCAAAGATCTTGACAACAGAAAACTACATTCATTTGATTACACAAATTCTCATAATTCTGACCCTTCTGAATTGGGAGACTTTCCGGAAAATGTCCATTCAGATTATTCATCGTCATTGTCATTATGTTTTGCTCCCACGAATCGCTCATCTAATGCTTTGATATCAGATGTTGGAATTAAACCCCAAGACTTTGAGTAATTTCGAATCAACTTTGATGAATAAGATTCAATCACACCAATCAAATTCTCTCTTGTTCTTCACTCTTCACTCGAGCGAATCAACCAACCTTGATTGCAAGATTTTATCGTTACACATTGGTGATGAAAACAAGAAAAGAAAATTGAATTAGGGAAGAAGAAGAAGAATAAGGTTTTCACAAAATTAAAAAAGAAGAAGAATTTCTGCATAGTTACTCTCTGTTCTCAAAACTGCAATTTTATTCAAGTGAATCACTTTACAATAATAGAGTTACTCCCTATTTATAGATTTAGCTTTCTTACTCTCTAAGCAAAGCCCAAAAACAAAAAAGTTCAAAATACATAATTCTGCTAGCATTACAAAATTAAGTTCAAAGACAAAATCCATGTCGAGATTACTCCTCCAACACTTCGATAATAAAACAATTTAGACACACACTAGAAAATTCGACGATTTTCTTGTCTCTGTCGAACAACCTGGTTCGACATAAAAAATTACAATTTAACAGATATGAGGTTGAATATATTTTGTTTTTTTTACAATATATATCTCATTCATTGTGCTTCTTGTTTTCCACAGTATTTTTATTGCCTTTGTTATATATGCTTGATTTCACGTGTGGTTGGAAAGAGATTAGAGATGTAATATGATGATATTATTTGGTTTGATGCTTAACGTGGTTAGGTACTGCATGGTCTATGTATTTAAAGACTTGTTGAAGTTTTTTAAGCGTGATGATTCGGAAACGTGCACGTGCTCAAGCAAGTCTTCAAATGTAACGTGGCTTTTTTTGTTGTGAGTTTTTTTTATAACTATACAGTTTTAACTTGTTATACAAGTTTTTTTAAAGCAAATAAGTAGGCTCTAGACTAAGTAGAATTGTAAACTAGAATTTTTCACCCATACTAATAGTGTCAAGCTGCCTTATTCACTCTTTGTAATAAACAAAAAATAGCAGAATTTTTCAAGCAAATGGATATAAAAAATAAGTACTATCTTGCTAACACACTAACATCACCAAAACTAACATTCCAAAGGTTTTATAGTTCTTACAATGAGTGGTGATTTGGTTGGTGTTCATTAATTCTTTCTTCTAAAAAGCGTTGTTGATCTTTAGAGCATCTCCAATGGTGCAATTCATTTTTAGGTTCTTTGTGGCACCCACTCTTTTAAAGCAATTCATTCAATTTTCACTTCAATGGTGCAACTCCAAAGAACCCATATTGGGTCCCACCACTTTACTTAAAATATATTATTTATATTAAATTTATTTTATTTAAAATTATAATTTAACTATTTAAATTTTAATTAATATAAATACAAATTAAACATAAAATTAAAATTAAACATAAAATTAAATATAAAATTGAAAATAATAATTAAAATTAAATTTAAATACATGTCACATAATTAAAAACAATAAAAATAAAGAACATCACATAATTAAAAAAAATAAAAATAAATAACATCACATAATATGATGCAAGCATATATTGTATGCTTGAGGGTTTCCATGTGCCAAGCACGCGCTGGACCAAGTATAATTGCAAATCGAGACTAGAGCACTCCAAATGCCCGCTCCACATCTCTTCTAGCTGATTCTTGATGTTGAGCAAATAATTTTCTCTTTTCTCCCTGCGGCATTGAAATGGTCTTGACAAATGTAGCCCACTCAGGATATATGTCATCCGCTAAATAATACCCCATATTGTATGGTGTTCCATTGATTGTATATTGCACAGTGGGAGCATGTCCTTCCAAAATATCGTTAAACACGTTAGATTGGTTTAGCACATTAATGTCATTGTTAGAACCTGCAATACCAAAAAATGCATGCCAAATCCATAAGTCTTGTGATGCCACAACCTCAAGCATGATTGTGGGTTTACCATGATCACCTCGACAAAATTGTCCTTTCCAAGCAACAGGACAAATTTTCCATTCCCAGTGGATACAATCAATGGAACCCAACATACCTGGAAAGTCACGTGACTCACCCATTTGTAAAAGATGTTCGATATCAGTGTTGTTAGGCTTTCGCAAATACTCAGCCCCAGATACAACATTCACACCCTTAACGAATCTTTCTAAGCACTCAATTGAGGTACTTTCACCGATTTGAACATATTCATCTACAATGTCAGCGGGAGACCCATATGCCAACATACGAATAGCAGATGTGCATTTCTGCAATGGTGAAAGACCCATCTTACCAGTTGCATCGATCCTCATTTGGAAATATTCATCATGATTGCTGAGGGCATCTACAATTCGAAGAAACACATGCCTATGCATTCTGAACCTTCTTCGAAATTGTACATCTGTGTATACTGGATTTTCTGAGAAGTAGTCATTGAATAATCGATTGTGCCCTTCTTCACGACCTCGATCTACCGTAGTTCTTCTCTTTGGCCTAGAGGAACTTCCAAATTGACATTCATTTTGAAGATGTTGTTCTTCATCACTGTCGTCCATTAATTCTTCTTCAACTAACTCCCAAAATTCTTGATCATAATTATCTGAATTGTCTGAATCCATATTTTAGTGAGGAATAAGAAGAGAATGAGAAAACAATGACACAAGTGGTAGTATATATAATGGTTTGAATAACGGCTAGTTATTCATAACGGCTAATTTTTCATAACGGCTAATTTTTCATAACGGCTAGTTTGAATAATGGCTAGTTATTCATAACAACTAGTTTGAATAACGACTAGTTTGAATAACATAATATTTATTATGATTTAAAGTGGTACTAATGACCATTTTACATAGGATTTGATAAATTAAAGTGGTACTAATGACCATTTTCCATAGGATTTGATAAATTAAAGTGGTACTAATGACCATTTTACATATAATTTAAAGTGGTACTAACTACAGTCCATATTTTTTTCTCATTTTAGTACAATATTTTTCATGAATCTCTCGTTGACTTTCTTTCATAGTAGAAGTGTCTTTCATCATGATTTGCATTACCTTTAATTCTATCTCGTCCTCCTTACTTTGCGCAAGTCTTTCCATTGTTTCTGCTCTTTTATTCCTTGCATCTTGCGTTGCATTTGGAATTTCCTTTGCCTTACCCTTCCTTTTTGCTGCTTTTTGTCCCATTGGACGCTCCATTGGTGATGATGAGTTAAACTCATAACTTGAAGGTGTATCAGGGATCTCCGATGATGCCCCACTAGCAGAAGTCTGTGTCATTTTTGAAGAATTTCTAATCAATTCTCCGATGATGCCCCATTTAGCTTCATCTTTTAACAATCGCCATGCATACTCAAGATTGAATGTTGTACCTTGATCTTGAGCATAAAAAGCATGTGCAGCAGCCATGATATCGTTCTCCGATGTCCCACTTTTCTTTTCATTGACAGCTTGTCTATAACACCCAACAAATTTTTGAACCGACGCATTTATTTGATGCCATCGACATTTTAATTGACCCCTTAACTTTTCTCGCAATTGCCCGCGATACTGGTTATAATTTGCAGCGATTCTATGCCAAAAACTCTCATCTTTTTAATCAACTCCCACAATTGGATCCTTTGAAACATTGAGCCATGATTGGATAAGACATATATCCTCATCCCTTGTAAATTGCTCTCGAGATTTTTTTTAACAAGAACCCTTTCTTCTTTTTCAACACCAACTTGAGTAGAAAATAGTGGAACTTGAGAATTTTGAGGATTAGGATTTTGATACATATTTGGATTGTTTGGTGACGGAAAAAACATGGCGGGGTTTGGTGGTACTGATGGAATTTGAGAATTTTGAGAATTAGGATTTTGATAATTTTGCATGAAATTGAACATAGTTTGTTGATAATGAAAATGATTAGGATCCATTTGGCCTAAACAAATGTAATTTGAAATAAAAAGATAAAAATTTGAAATAAAATGATAATGAGAAGAAATTGTTGGAAAAAAATTAAATATTTATGAATAAAATGATGAAATTGTGAGAGAGAAATTTGAAATTAAAGAGTAAATAAAAGTGAGAGAAAATAGGATTGGTATACAATTTTTCCAACAAACCTATATTTATAATAAATAAAAAAGTTAAAAAATAAAATAAAATAAAGCCGTTGCACAACGGCTAAATGATTATTTTAATAATAAAAAAAATGAAGAACCATTGCTTATGTTTGTAACGTTCACCGGCTGGAACAACTTTTTGTTGACAATTTCAATGTCAAGCTGACAAACCAATTTGAAAAACCACCGTTGGAGGTGGTCTTATTAGAGTTTTAATTTTCCATTAAGCTCATCTTAATTACCATTTTTGTAATATTTATATTTATTTTTTTAGATTAGATGAACATAAGTTTAGTGTATATTCTTCCCTAAATGAAGTGGTACAATATTATTTTTCATGTATACGTTGACTTTGAACTGAATCTTTTTATTAATCAACATGCCATCAGTTGTCAACATACCTTTCGAATCCATTTGTGTCTATAGTGAATATTACATAATTATTTATATGATGCATCAAATTATGTTTAAGTTGACTTATTTGTTTAGTTGAATTGATGTTCTGGTCTGTTTTCTTATGCAAGATTCAACTACATATTGAATATAAGGATCTCTTATAAGTTGAAGGAAACGATGGAGAAAAACAAGCCCAATGTGATGGTGATTGAATCTTTGTAATCATGGTAGCTCTATTTCAACCAAGCTTCTAATCAACACTCCTCTGTAAGTCAAAGTTTGGATATATAGATATACACTTGCAGCTTTGGTATTTTGTAAGATAGATCTTAGATTTTTGTTCACTTCAATTTGATAAAAAGATGATTTTGAAAATGTAGACCTAAGCTTGTATTACTTATGTTGCAATTATTAAAGTCAGAGCTTTGATGCTCATCAAAATTTTGTTCGTTTTATTTATCTATATCGTTTTCAATTTGGTTTGTTGTGGATACATTGGTGCTTCGTTTTGTTGTTTCAGTTTAGTTCTAGTTGAGAGCCATTATCCGGTCTAGGGCGACTTTTCTCATTGTTATTTTGGTATACATATATATGGGATTTTTGTTGTTCCGAACTGCATCGGATAGTCATTGTTGTTGTTTCCTTCTACATCCAGGTCTGTTGCGGCCTATTACTGACCATACCCTTCTTTGGGTCTCTGATATGGTGAAGATTAGTTATAGTATACATCAAAATACATTACAAAGTTTTTGGCTGACTTGAGTTAAAGGTAGGGGATAATATACAAAAGTTTAACAAGCTTGAGTTGGATTCTGATCTGGACTTAGATCTCCAAGCTGCAGAGTCTGATAGGGATAGACTGAGAAATCGGGAGGAGATGTGGAAGAACCTTAGGTTAAAAGAAAGTATGTTGGCTCAGAAATCCCGGATAAGATGGCTACAAGATGGGGACCTCAATACAATTTTTTTTCATGATTCCTTAAAATCGAGGTATCGATCGAATTGCATCTCTGCTGTTAGAGTGGGAGGTAAACTTGAGGATGAACATGAGGTTATTAAGTTTGAAGGTTTGAAGTTATTTAAGGAGAGATATCAGAATCAAGATTCGTTTAAGTTTAGTAGTGAGGTATATTTTCACAATATTTGACGATACATATACCTTATACAATTCTCAACTCAAGAATGTATTGACACCATTTCTCCTTAATTTCTTCCAATTTGTCTTTCGAGTAAGTAATACACTTGAATTCATCAAAGTACTACATAATATAACATAACATGCACGATTTAGTTTTAAAATTAATTACTCGGATGAAATATCGGTTAATTATTAAAATAAATCATATAACTTATAAATTGATCCATACCATGATTGGAATCTCTATTTGACCTGAATGAATAATTACCTTCATAAAACGCAATACAAAATATCTGCAATCAATCCCATTACGTTGACAAGGACACTGTAAATGAAAAAAACAAACGAATATTTATTAGGATATATAGTTTAACTAGTTTTATCAAGTAGAATCACTATAACAGTCAAAATTGTGAAAATATACCTGCACTCTGATCCAGCTAATGTTGTTAGCCTTCCTTTTTGGCACTGTTGCTTCTCTTTGTGATCGGAATATTTGTATAGCTCTAACATAATATAAACGAATATTTAGAACAATCTCACATAATAAATAAAGATAACTATTCAGAACAGTATATCTCATCACTTACGTATCAACCATATTCTTCATATCAGGATATTTTATTTGATCACCATCCAATGAATCTAGATAATACACTATTTCTTTCATCGCATTAATGTCAACCAACAACCAGTGTCCACTGTAAAATAAGACAAAAGTTTAGACGGAAATGTTATATAGAATGACAAAAAACTAATAATTATAATAAATGAATTTAGAATGAAATCTAACCCATGACCAGTATTATATGGAAAAAAGTACAACTTCTCTGTATCTACGGCCATAAATACTTGGACTATGTAATCTCTAACTACATCTGGTGTGTGATCGAATGACCGTGAGTTGATACAGCTAGCAGATAAGAATGCGAATCTTGAAGTCAATTGATGCGGGATCAACAACTTGTCATACAAGAACCTTAAATAAAAACATAATCAACATTAGAATATTCATTTAAATGAGCAAATAAATAGTTCAATTATTTAATTAAAATTGATCGGAGTACCTGATGTAGGAATACATAACACCCATGCTCAATTCAGAATGTTGGAAAATTTGGTCCAAATCCTCCTTAGCAATTGTTTCGGCATATTCAAAACCGAAAATACCTTCCTCCATAGGTATTTGACGGATGCCACCCTCAGCCACATCAGTTGTTTCTACATATGTTTCAAGGAACAACCTAAATCAAGGAACATATGCTTTTTTTGGCTCGACCTTTTTTTTGTTGGGCACCTTGCTAGATTCAGGCATTTTACCCTTGCTGACTTGTTGCAACTGTTGATCATGAACCTAAAAGTCATATAAGTTCAGTAATTAATGTATAATAAGATAATCATGTAACTGTAGTAGTACCTGTTTTTTTATGCAACTGAATTGGTTTCCTGCACAATAATTCCCTTATCTTTTGATTTGGATTTTGTAGGAGTCTAAGATCATCATGTAAATAAGTAAATGTAAATGTAAGAATAACTTTCATGTATGGGTCATAAAATATTTGAATACTACAAGATTTATAATGGTGTTCAACCTACCTCATCATCTATCATAATGAGATTTGACGGCCATGCAACATACGATCCTATTGCGTCTCCCACCAATGTTGCGTCCGAAACATAATCTGGTATAGGCAACAACGCACCCCCCTCTAACGCAATATCAACCGATACTTCCAAAAATCCAGCAGGGAGCGATTTATGGTGAAGTAAGTCTCCCAAAGTGTTATACATTTTTCCCTTGCCAACCATGCGATAAGTCGGTGACGATAAATATAGCAGACAAGGTGAAATGCCCTAAACAAATAATGAATATGATTAATGTGTCAATTAAGAAAATTGTGCTAAATTAATTTCAATGTAATATATATAATTACCTTTGGAAGCTTCTGCGGACAATTGATACTATCTTT